AAAAAAAAAAAAGAACAAATAGTTGTAGCAAATCAAACGATAAAAAAGGAATGCATAATAGTGGAATAATCGAACCGAAAAAACTACTGCACTTTCCTTTTTCAACATTCTCTCATTTCCTCCAATATAAAAAAGCTTGAAAAGCAATGAGGGCAAAACTTGGACGATCTAAACCCTAGATTTTCCCCCGGAATAATCAATACGATGGTGAAGAAGAGCTGCGAGTATGAAAATCGTTGTTATTTTCTGAAATCGAGAGGATTTGTCGCCAGTACTTGCTTGTTCGTCACCTGTGAATGGAGTCTTCGAAGAACTCGATTGTGAAGGGCCAAGAGGATCAACGGCCGTTAAAAGAGGATCAGCGGGCGAAGGTTGTAGAATGGGAAGATTATGAACAGGAGCTCGCCCGCCTTTGCAGTTTGACTTCAGCACTCGAACAAGGGAGGGGGAAGAAGGATTTGCTTGAAGAGAAGCTCCATTCATTGATACAGGTAATGTTATGTCTTTTGCTTCTGTTCATTTTCTTTTCTGTAGTTTTATTCTGTGATCGCTGGGGCACTGGAAAAATTTTGGAAAAGAAAAAGATGGAAATATATGTCCATTTGAGTGCGGCCTAAAGTTGGGGACTAGCTCTCAATCCAGATATTGTTCTGGGATTCATGGCTTTGTTGTCTTTAAGGATAATAAGAGTAACTGTAGATATTGTCCATGGATTCCTGGCGTTGTTGTCTTTAAGGATAATAAGAGTAGCTGTAGATGTAGTCATTTATGCTTTCTTTATTTGCCTCAAGTTTGAGAATTAGCAACTTGCTAGTAGAGGTGCAATATTATCCAGTGGGAAGATTGTAAATTTTGAGTGTAGCTAGCACTCCAGGTCCAGGTGAACTCTAACCAAACTTGTGAAAATAGCAATGTATTTTATATGTTAATACAAGCTGAAAAACCAATTTGGTTTACTTCCTATGGAAAATGTAGTTGTTTTATTTATCGTTTGCTGCCCATTTGATGTGGTGTTGACCATGGAAAATAGTTGCATATCCCGTTTGGTAATCAACAGTTGCTTTTATAAAGGCCCAGTCATATTTCTGATAGTAGCCTGACACCATGAATATGTGATGCAGATTTTTTTTTTTATTATGTGATAGACTGCTTTTCAGTTGATCGAACTTTTATTATTTCCCAATCAATTGATGGTCACATTATTGTTCTGACTATAGCATGTTGTACATGTATGACATTACTATATGTTGTCTCTGTTCAGGCTTGTGTTTCCGTTTTACCTATAAAGATAAATTGTGTATAAGATAAATTACTGCTTCAGATGCCTGTCATAAGAACCTTGGATGTGCAGGATGTATAAATTGGTATTTGACTATGTTTGTGTGGTTGTGGTGCTTGGACAGTATTTGGATACAGTTTCTATAAACATCCTTTGGAATAGGTATGGGCCGTATGGCCTATCACATGTGAACGATGTTCTCTCATAGGCAGACTAGTGTATAACTTCTGATAGATGTAACTATTTGGTCTTTGAGGAATGAGCTGTGAGGTAACTTTGGACAAATTAGCGAAATTCAAGACTGGTCTGCTAATCTTTATTTTGTGCAATCACTAAATGTTTGTTGTATTTTTGGCTACCTGATATTTGAGGGATCCAAAGAGATCTTGGTAAAACAAAATCTTGAATATAGAAATTTGGAAACGATTCTATTGCACACCTCAAAGTTGTAACCCTGATACCATTAATTGCTACTTAGAAAGTGAAATCACGTTGTTGCTTTATTCTCAAAACTTATGGAAGGATGACTGAATGAAAATTCACTTGTTGTCTTTCGTGCCAAGGAAACTGAATATGGAAATGGTAGTTTTCATCTGATTATAGCTCGAGTACTGATACTTTTGGTATGGAAAACAATGAAACTTAGCACTGCAGTGAAGAGTGAACTCGCTCTAGAGTCTTTTTCCGCTGAAAATACTTTTGTCATTTGCAAATCAGATATAGTTTCCAGAGTAGACATCTGTTTCCTAATTCACACCTTTATCAATATTCAACTTCCAGAGCTTAAAGTAAACCATGCCAACTTCTTTATTATGGTTAAAAAATTAGGTTTTGTCTCCCATTTGACTCTAGATCATTAGTACTGCTACGTCTGTACCTTAATATTTCCATTAGTTACTCTAGCTTGAAAAATACTACCTCCTATTTTTAATATATGTCTTTTTGAGAAGTTGCACATTAATTAAGAATAATTTTTTTGTCAATAATAGCCTTATTTAATGAAGATATAGATGAATGTTTTGAGAAAAAGTGAAGAGTGAATATGAAAAGACGTAATGTATTTATTAGCTAAATGAGGGTAATAATGGAAAAATATGTACAAAAGATCCAAAACGACATTTATTCAGTTAATAGTTGATAAAACGAGAATGACATTAAAAAAAAAAAATAGGAGGGAGTATGATTTTTTCATTGAAGATAAAATTGATATCACCGATAAAAAAAAAAATGACACTAATACGTTTCCTGGTCAATTGTAGAAAGTATAAGTCGTATTTTGTATTTTTTTCGTTGTGAAAGTTCATATTTGTTTCATTATAATGCATTCCCAATAGTACTGTTTAAGTAAACAGTACTAGTTTCCTATATCCACTATTAACTGCTCTTACATGATTGTGCTTAATATGGTGTAATTTTGCTTTATTGCTCAAACTCTATTCAACTACACTACTTGTTTAGTTAGTATCTTGTAGAGGCTTTTGTTAACATTCGCAGAAAGAAAGAGCAACAGTGCATTTTTGGTTTTCTTTTCTGCTTTCTGAACAAGCTTTACCATTCTTGTATGCATCCCTTTAGTCTTTACTTGGTTTTACTTAGCCTTTTCTAAATATTTGTCCTTGCGATTTTGTCAACAGATAGAAGCAGAATCTTTAAGTCGGTTAAATGAGCTTGATCGAATGCGTGAAAAACTGGAATCTCGTAAGTTGGTGATGGGAAATATGTCAATGCACTCCAAGGTTGTGAAGGAGAAGGTGAGAAAGCAAGAGGAACAACTTAGTGCTGAAATAAGATCTCTATTGGCTGGTGGAAGTTCTCTTTCCGAGGCCAACAAGCGTATGCTGGTAATACTACAGTAGACCTGTTTCTTATCTTTTCGTTTCCAGTTTTACCAAAATGAAGTACCACTTTCCCTACATCTGTCTGTTGTCATATACCTATAATCAATATCTTCACTCTTATTATAAATTGTAGCGTGACTTTCAATAAACACATGGATATAATGGTAACAAGGCTTGCCCATTCTCTGACCAATTATTGATTTACTTTTGAAGTTTATTGGCCTCAAACAAGTATTTTAAATATAATTATTAAGGATTCAGGATTGAAAGAGAAAAAAACATTAATAACATAGGGGACTTGTCTGGTATCCTTGATTCATTTCATCATGGACCTATTCCTAGGATTATACTGTTGGCCTATGTATACCGGTTGAAACAAATGTATAGACAGTCCAGGACCTAGCCCTTTGTTATACAATCATGCTTTGGACTTCTATCCGCTAGTAGTTAATCGGCATATTTGTTTTCTATTAGTCAAAGTATTTATAATAACCCAGTATTCTACGAGGCTACGCTATCAGTCATGCCCAATTAATTACGCTTATTCTTAAAAATTCATTTTGTTTTCATAATCTTCTAATTCAGACACCATTTATTTGAACTTATAATGATAAAACAAAATTTTCTGTAATAATATGATTAACTTATAGATCAACGATGCTTATTAGTGTTCAATACATCTCGAGAAATATAAACATTAAATATCTTCTCAATAATTGGGGCCTTCTTTGACAAGCATGTGGCGGCAAGAAGCCTAGGTGTATTCTCTTATTCACAGTTTATAACTACTCTACTAGTCTATGTTTGATCACATAACAATATTCATCTCATTGGTTAACATTTGTAGCTGTACATCTCTTTCCATGCGAATTTGAATTGCTAGCGTCTTGTTTCTAGATTCTGTGCTCATGTTTTTATTTGGCGATCGTTTTAGATGATCATTGTTCAATATTAATATTTTATAGACCAACTTATATTCATGAAAACAAAGGGTTTGGTTTTGTTCGGTAACCGCACAAATTGCGGCTTACCCATATACCAAATCAAATGGAAACTCCATATACCGAATAGAATGGGCATTTTCGGTACCCATATATCAAATCGAATGGAAACCCCATATACCGAACAGAATTGACATTTTCAGTAATACTAAATAATTACCGAAACTGAACTGATTTTCACGGTCAGTATCTGAAAATCTGGTTTGGTATTTTATTTTATAATTTTTTTAATACCTAAATGGCAAAAGGCATGCAATCTAAGTGAAGGGAAACATCGACCACCAATTTGTAGCAAAGTCAAATAATTTTTGCAGCACATTAGCAAAAATCTGAAAAAAAGAAAAAAGAGGTAAAAGCAGCATGCCCTCTTCTTCCCCATAATTGTTGAGCAGCACAAACCTTCTTTATTATCAAACTGAAAAACTGATGCGAGCAGACATGGACAGAATCGAAGGTAGAAAGTGAGGGGTGGTATGTGGTTGTGGAAAGAGATGATGACAAGACAGCTTCTGAGAAAAGTAGCTAATTCTGGAAACTGAAATAACGATCTTCCCGTAGTTAAAATTGGAATTGGATCTGGACAAATGGGTGTGTTTGGACTGAAGGAAATTATGTAATTATTTTAAAAAATCAGTTTGATTTTGGTAATACCGAATTTTAAACTATACAGAACCAAAACCGAGCTTTTATTCTTTCGGTTACTGAACATCAGATAGCAAAAATATCAAGTTGGTTTGGTGTGGACAGTTTTTTGGTTAAATTTTCCTGCCCTAAAATTAATAGCACCAAATGACTGGTTTCATGTCAAATTCCTTTTGAAAAACAGAAGGTATTTCCTTTTTCCCTTTCTCACTTGACCATTGCCTTTTTCTTTGTTATATGTGTTTATTTGTAATGATTGGGCCTTGAAAAGTTTTAATATCTTGCTGCCCCTTCTCATTTGAGTGTGAGTTTATTTCATCCATAACAACAAATTCTAAATGCATTTTGGTAGATCTGTGCTTTGCGATACGTATACAACAGTTTTCATGAGGTTGCGGACTAAAGCAAGAGACTGCTTTTCTGGTGTGCCTTTGCATTCATCATTATTATCATCTGGTTCTGTTATTTGCAACAACAAAAAAGGCAACATTATAATATTAAAATTATGTATCAAATATTGTATTTAGTTGTTTCGCTATTAGTAGTGTTAGGTTCTTATTGCTTAATTGGTTTACTGTCATGCTGGCTAATCCATGATATCTGCACCCAGTAATCTGCACCGACTTTCAAATATTCAATACTAATGTTACAGTGAGCTGTGAGCTTATGTACTGTGTCTCAAGTGTTGTTCTGTTTTGCTCAGTATTATGATATTCCAACTTGTAACCTTGTTTGGTGTAAATAAGATGTTGCCAGAGGTCATTTGACATTTCTTATCATCTCTAATCACTGATTTATATTCCTATTTATCTGTATGTAATGTGATTTTGTTCCAATGCAGGAAGCAAGCAGGTCACTTGCTGGAGAAAAAGGTTATGGTCATTTGAGAAACTTGCAAAAATTATTGAGAGTAAGGCAACAGTATATGGTCTCACAGGTTTCCTTGCTATATCCAGTAAAGGTTGTGATCTGCAGAACCCCTGATCAAGAGCTTGAATCGTTTAGTAGCAGTACCAAGTCAGGTAACAATCTTGCATCTATTTGGAGAGCTGAGATATTATTTATGTATTCTGACTAATATATCTTCGCGCTGAACAAGTGTAAAACTTCAAAAAAGCATGGCTTGGAATATTTTTCTATGAGGGATTTTTGAGTTCTCCCGCTTTACTGCAATGAATACTGAAATACAAGTGAATTACTTATTGTAAGTCCTGAAGAAACCAGATTTCTTTGTATTCCCTCTGTGAGTCTCTGGAGTTCGCGATGAATTATTTAACTGAACTAAAGCCATATCAAATCAACAATGAACTTATTTTGTTCTAATAAAATGGATCTGGTTTTGTATTATCTTGCATAATTTTCTTAGCTTGCTGCTACATTGTAACACAAGACAAAGTAAAAGGAAGATTTCCTTCAAAACTAGACTTCATTCACATGACTCATTCAATTACCCTACAGTATCCCTCAGCTTAATGCTTATATGTACCTGCTATGTTTTCAAATATTTTTCTTTTCTTGTGTATAACCTGTACGACTTCAATCTCTTTATCATGTTATTACGTGAATTTTCCTTCAAAGCTAGACTTCATTCTGACATGACTCTTCAATTTTCCTACAGTTTCCCTCAGCTTAATGTTTATATGTACCTGCTGTGTTTTCAAATATTTTTCTTGTGTATAACCTGTACAACTTCAATCTTTTTAACATGTCATGTGAATTTATCCCAATTAGATTGTAAAATGACCCAACTAATTTTAGCTAGTAATGTGCGCAAATGCTCGTGTATATGTCGTGTAACTTTTTAAATGTTACCATTTCAAAAAAATGTCATAGATATGTCCAGTACCTTGTGTCCTGGGAATTACATTGAATTCAGGATACATAGCTTCACTTTCATAGGCTATTATAGTGTTTACAGTGCATTTTTCCAAAAAATTTTCACACAATTCTTCTTTGTTACAATGAATATACAAATTTTTCTTAATGATATGAAGTATCTCTGATTCTCTGGTGATTATAATACCAACACTTTGCAAATTTTTCTGTGTGTTCACCGAGGCATCAATTTAGTGTTTAAACCAGAGTGTAGAGTGTAAGGCCGAGATATATCTAGGATTTCTTTTATAGTTGGGTTAATTGCTAAATAAACTTTAACCTTTTTGCGTTCGACACTTTTATCCCAATCTTTGGGCAATTGTAATATAATCTCGACCTCAAGTCCAAGTCTTCCATTGACACGTGCTTTTATGCCATCCACGTAGCAAGTTGGCAATTTCCACGTATTTAATGTATATCTACGCACAAAGCCGAAAATTCAACGTCAATGTAAGCTACCGGTGATGAGTCTCCTCCTAGATCTGGAGTGAACCGGTAAATATGAGCTCCGATCTGTTCGAACCGCCTTCAAATCGACCAGTTTTTTGAAGGTCCAACCGGTTTTAGGTTCGACTTGCAATAAGTAAATTAAGGTCGAGATTATATTGCAATTACCCAAAGATTGAGATAAAAATTGCCAAACGCAAAAAGGTTAAGTTTATTTAGCAATTAACCCTTTATAGTATTGTCATCCTTGCTGATTGACTAGTGCAGATTCATCTGTTTTGGGCATAAAGCGAATATTAGTTGGATTTGATATTAGTATGAATCTATATATACTTGTAGATTCGAGATGTATTATCCAATGCATATTATCAATGTCATTTGTATCCTTATTATTTTTTTATCTGCAGTTACACAATTTTCAGATTTCATGCATATATTCTTACATATTCAATGCGGTTAAGGTGTTGGTGTTATTTCTGGATTCATTCATGTAAGGCAATGTTAATATGCATGCTAAATATTTCTGTGCTCTTTTCGCCACTATTAGGTGTTTCTGATGGATCAAAACACGTGGACCACACCACTTTGACAATCTCAGGTCTGCACCTAAACGTGATCCCTTTTACAAAGATGAGTTTTTTCACTGACAAGAAGGAGGTTCAGCGATCCTCAACTGCCCTGGGATATGTTGCCCATGTGTGTTCTTCCCTTTCAACTTTACCAACTCATATTCTGATTTCAATCCTCCGCTTGAATTGCTATTACACATGGAAAACACATTGAGCAGTAATATGCACTTATATGTCTCGAGGGTTAGTGTCAGACTGTCAGGATCATAGCCTGAGTTTACGAGTCTCTACAGCATTAAGCAAAATCTGTTATGCTCTAAATTAGTAGGGTGATAGTTTTCTGATCACTATGTCGGGGTTCGTTTTGCAGGCTGTAACACTTATTGCATCTTATTTACAAGTGCCTTTGCGCTATCCATTACGATTGGGGGGTTCTCGAACATATATACGTGACTATACTCCTTCAATTGAACCTTCAGCATCAAATACAACATTGGATTCGTTAACTTTGACAAGCACGAAGCCTGTAGAATTTCCCCTCTTTATTGAGGGTCAGGATTCAACTCGAGCAGTTTATGCTGTATTCTTGCTGAACAAGGTGGGCAACATTTTGAATAATTGTATGTGGACTATATGATTTATTTGGAGGTGCGTGCATGTTTATTTGTGCATTATCGTTCGCTTACTAAATTTTTACGATCCATGACGAGTCTGCCATTTCTAAGTGGTTTTGCACTAGAAAGAAAATATTAGTATATGATTTATGCATATAAGCTGTTTGCACATGGTGCAATTTTCTTAACTGACCAAATCTTAGAGCTGTTTGAAAGTTTATGCAAATTCAACCGGCAGCTTGTTTAAACTCTTAGATTATTTTGTCCGTTTCATGAAAGACGAAGCTGATTTAAACTTTATTGCAGGATTTAGAGCAGCTCTTGAATTTTATCGGTGTCAAGAGCTTAGGACCACGCCATGTTTTAGCGAATTTAAAGGAGCTTACAAGGACCATTCTTTCTCCAGAGTATATAGATATGTGACAACTGCAACTGTATTGTAAGTTTCTGTAAAAATGGAGTGTGTGTATTCTTAAAGTGCACATTGTCATGTTGGTCAGATTAATACCAATTATAATTGATAGAAAACATATGTGCTAGTTACATTTTGGTAGCAACACGATTTTGTTTTTGAATTTAAGCATGATGATGAAGCTTTTGCATTTGGGATTTGGCTCCATTTTTTTGTGGGCCTACATAACCCTCCCACGCCACAACGTGCTTGTAATACCCGCAATTAAATGCGAAATAGTTTTTCAACTTATTTAATTTACTAACTAAACTTATCTGAATATTTTGTTCCGAGCAAGTTATACCTTTTGGGCCAATTATATAAGGCACATTTACATTCTTGGTTTATGATTTGTAAATAATTGCTACAATCAAAGAAAAAATATTGCATTGTTGTCATATCTTGAGCAAATAATTAGGAACATGCATGTTATCAGTTTATCAAAAGAAAAAACGGATTCTCTTTTTTGATTCCCGTAACTGACATCAATTCCATTAATTTTCAAGAATAAATACACCGATGATAAACATGGGGAGAAAATGTGAAGACTAAATGAACGAATAACTACCTGACAAAAAATTAGGAAAACTAAAATGTTAGCGGCGTTACATAAGAATATATATACAATATATAAACATCACATATACGGTCTTGAAACAACATAAGAGTTGCAGCCCGATATCGTCGTGAGACAGTTCGGTCCATAACCGGTGTGGGCGTTAGAGCATTGAGAGGACCTTTCCCTAGTACGATAATTTTCAAGAATAAATACACCGATGATAAACATGGGGAGAAAATGTGAAGACTAAATGAACGAATAACTACCTGACAAAAAATTAGGAAAACTAAAATGTTAGCGGCGTTACATAAGAATATATATACAATATATAAACATCACATATACGGTCTTGAAACAACATAAGAGTTGCAGCCCGATATCGTCGTGAGACAGTTCGGTCCATAACCGGTGTGGGCGTTAGAGCATTGAGAGGACCTTTCCCTAGTACGAGAGGACCGAGAAGGACGCACCTCTGGTGTACCAGTTATCGTGCCCAAGGTAAATGCTAAGTAGCCTAGTGCGGAGCGGATAACTGTTGAAAGCATCTAAGTAGTAAGCCCACCCCAAGATGAGTGCTCTCCTATTCCGACTTCCCCATAGCTTCCGGTAGCACAGTCGAGACAACGACGGGCTCTCTACCCCTGCGGGCATGGAGCGACAGAAGTCTTCAGAATTCAAGAGAAGGTCACGGCGAGACGAGCCGTTTATCATTACGATAAGTGTCAAGTGGAAGTGCAGTGACGTATGCAGCTGAGGCATCCTAACAAGCTGGTAGACTTGAACCTTGTTCTTACATGACCTGATCAATTCGATCAAGCACTCGCCATCTATTTTCGTTGTTCAACTCTTTGACAACATGAAAAAACCAAAAGCTCTGCCCTCCCTCTCTATCTATTCCTTCTGTAGTGTGAAGACTAAATGGATGAATAACAACATGACAAAAATTTAGGAAGACTATAATGTTAGCGGCGTTACATAAGAATATATACAATATATAAACATCACATATACGGTCTTGAAACAACAATAGAGTTGTAGCCCGATATACTGTAAGTATATCATTCATTCACATAGACATAACATAATCGTGGTATAATTAAATATCGAAAAACAACATAAAGTATAATAAAAAAAAATTGCTCATTTGTCATCTCATATCAATTTTCTCATAAAAAAATATGCAGAATACCTAACATAAACTCAATATATACATTAAGTAACCATTGAAAACATATCCGATCGAAACTATCCGCGTGCCGACGACTAGAAAGCTCCACAAAAATTGAAATTATTACTTAATATGTACGTGCATAATCGTGTTATATACTAAATATCGAAAAACAACATAAACAATAATAAAAAAATCTTCTAATAAACTGGAATAAACGTTGAAACACACACTCTCTATATACTTAACATATACTGGAAATATACTGTCTATATACTCAACATATACTGCTCATTCGAAAGTTTCGATGTATGCTCGTTGCAGTACTTTTCCCTACTGTTCCTGCAAATTGTTCCAACCCTTGAACCTCCAACACTTATGATACAGCCGCTGGCGGCGTCGGGCTGGGACTGTCGGCCCCTACAGCATCATCTTCATCAATGACGCTCGCGTCAAGCCGCCGGTCCTCCGCCTCGAGAACGAGATCTCGATCAATCACGCCTTCTAGCACCGTCGGATTCCTAGCACCATCGTGCACCCATCAGTCACGCCATCTCGATCAGTCACACTATGATTTTATATCATAGATATTGTGTGTGAAGAAGAGAGAGAGAGAGAGTGATGAGGAGGTGAGATAACGAAGAGAGAGAGAGAGAGAGAGAGAGAGAGAGAGAGAGAGAGAGAGATCTCATACCATATGAATCGCGGATGATTTTTTTGAACTGATACATTTCTCTAATTGATAATCAAATAATCCTTAACTGATGGGTAAATCATGTGGTCTATCTGCAAATAAAAGCATAATTTACTGTTATGTTGCTATTATTTACTCTTGTACGACACCCGTGTACTACACGGGTTGTTTGAAAAAAAAATGTATAAAACATAAAATAATAGAAAAAACACATGTTGTCGTATAAAAGTGCAAAAATTGAAAATACCAAAGTCGATATTATATAAAATTTTGAAAAATTTCTTTGTACACAACATTAATAGTTTTATTTACAATTTTTTCATCCTTATCGCAACATAGAATTTTCAAGCCTCTCCTACTTTTAACTCTAGATAATGCAACATAAAGTTGACAATGACTGAATACAGGATTAGGCAAATACAATCCGACGGTAGACAATGTTTGTCATTAACTCTTATTAATAGTCATTGCAAAACAAACCATAAGTGGAAATTGTCTTCGTTGAATCTTGAAAGGCAATCTCACATCAAAAGGATTCAATAACATCCGCAGATTAAGTAATTTGCTCTCAATATTCCTTCCAAATAGAACCTTTAGCCTCAACAATGCGATCTCCAAGTCGAGTGATGACTAACTTGGTGTCATTAAACAACCCATAAAATAAATAATGATTATTTATTAAATTTATCAGTTCGTCTTTCTAATTAAAAAGTAAAAACATTAAAATAAGGGTAAAATACTTTTTACCATCCGAACTATCACGATTTTGGCGCTTTACCATATGAACATTTTTTTTTTGGCAAACCATCATATAAACTACGCGAGTTTGTCAAATTGCTCACTATACCAGGTTTAAGCCCGGTTTCACCTCATTGAAACTGGTTTTTCTAGGGTATTTTAGGAATTTCAAGTATTTAAATAAATAAATAAGTAAATAAGAAAACTGAAGAAAATAAATCGAGGGCTCTGCACCCCACCTCCGTCCACCTCCCTTTTGCCATTTGGGCTCTGATTTCGGGCTAGAGTGCAACCTGAGGCCCGACAAGAATTACCTCGAGCACAATTGTTCCGACCCAACGAATCTGCAGCCGTCGTCGAGTCCGAGGAGGAGGTCGAGGTTGCGAAGGACGTCCGCGTCAATGGTGACGACAAAAAAGCCGAGGCGCGTGAAGGAGAGGCCGTTGGCGGTGGTGGTGTTCTTGCCGCCTTTGCTGGAGGCGATGACCAAGACAAATGGGATCTCACCGAAGTGATGCAGCTTGCAGATGTGTTGGAGGAGGGTTCAGATTGGGGCAGCGGCGACTAGGGTTTTGAGTTGTGCTGGAGGAGGGCTCGGATTGAGGTGTCAGCTAGGATTTTGGTCGGCATCCTGAAGGTTTTTTAGGGTTGAGGTGCGGCGGCGACGGCTAGAGTTTTTGTCGGCCTTCTGATGGGTTTCTTAGGGGGTGATGTGCGACGACAGCGACATACGATTTTGGGTTGTGTTGGATGAGGCTCGGATTGGGGCAGTGGCAAGGGTTTTAGTCGACTTTTGAGGGATTTTTAGGGCTGAGGTGCGGTGGCGATCTTGTAGATTCTAGACCTGTTAGCATTCAAAGGTTTGCAATGGTGTTGAGGCTTGGTTAACCGTCGGGTTTCAGGCGGCGAGTTTCAAGGTGGGATACAAATTTGCTTAATTTGTTTTGAAAAAATGAAAATAAATAAAAAATGGGTTAGTAGTTGAGAATTTGACAAAAAAAGAGGAGTTAATTTGTTATATTTGAATTGTTTATAAATTTTTATTTTGTCCTTTGGGTATTTTTGCAATATTTTAAAAATTTGTAATTTCGAAAATGTCCTTGTAAATCAGCTTATTTGTTACAAAACTACTTTAAATACGGTTTTGGAGGGCAAAGTGAAACAAACGTGTAGTTTATATGGTGGTTTGCCAAAAAAAAGTTCATATGGTAAAGCACCAAAACCGTGATAGTTCGGATGGTAAAAAGTATTTTATCCTTAAAATAAACATAGATAATAAATTAGTTAAGATTTAGGAATGTATAAATGCCAAAAAAAAATAAAAGAATGGTCGAGTGATCACTCACATACTGCCATTACACAACCCAAAAGATTGATCCATGTTTCGAAGCAGCACTACATGAATACCAACTTTCAATTTAAGATATGATTAGGAACTCCAGAGCATTTTATTGCATTCAAAAAAATCAGTTGTGTACACTGAATGCTGATTTTCTGAATCGACAAACGTCTTGCAAATACTGTTGGAGCTCAAATTAACACGTTCTTCACCAAGTCCTCATTGACATAATATAATCATTAACTACTTCAACGATTTTATTAGTAGGTGCAAGTATAGCTCTCCCTTCAAAAAATGATGGATCATAAAAGTTGCTCAGTAGTGAAGGATACGTACTTTAAACAATAGCAGCTAATGATCCTCTGCATCTTGAATCAATAGGTCTTCAGGAATATCGAAAAAAGTTTCTCCATCAGCTTCAACACCAATTAGACCATCACCAATTTTATAATCCAGTCAGAAAAATATTCAATTTCTTTAGCAGTTACATGTGAGTGTGACTGTCCAATAGTTAATCTCATGTTTTTAGTTAGCCGGAGAACTTTGCAATGATTCCATATTTTTACATTATTGCTTACCAATTCGATGTCAACGACATTTTTCTGATTCTCAACTACATCCATGGGAGATTTGGCAGTAGGAGTAATCTAAGAAAATGCAAAGCATATGAATTTTATTATAAATCAATTACAAATTGAATTGTTCGTTGACATATAAAATTGCTTACCGTTTCCTCACAAATCACATCGAACCACTTAAATATAATAGTTGCATCATCGGTGAGTTTGGCGACTGTATAAACCCTTTTTGATTGGTTTAGATTGAACCTTTTTTATGTCTATTTTGAAAAGATAACTTTTCATCACCAATATTTCTAGCTCATTTGGAAATGAATCGCCCTCACCGACCTATATTTAAAAAAAAAAAGAATTATTGTAAATCAAAATTATTAAAAAGGAACAAATATTGATGCTATCATTATGTATGGTGATAGGAAAGAATTATTACTGTTTTCAATGCATGTTTCAAATCTGCAGCACTCTTTCCCAATATTGGAGAAACTTGTGGATCAAAGAGAACAAATGACGTAGAACCGGTTTTGTCTTCAATGCGGACGTAGACTTTGAAACTATTC